CGGAAATTGTGAAGATCTTTCTTGATCAATCCCTTTGATACTCATTCTTTAGGAATAAGGAAGAGCATTTTCAAGTTTGCATTTGTTCATTTATAATCTAATTTCTTCTACTTCATATTTATTTAATATGAATATTTTTCCTCTCTTTTTTGTTGACACATTTAACATAAACTTGCCCCACTATTTCTGGTGCTGTGGCCTTTTCAGTAATTTGCAGGAACAACATATAACATTTCTCTGGGCACTGCAAAGAAAATACTTACAAAGAGTTGAAGAGTTTACGTTATTTGTGACACATTGTATACTCCAGAAGTTGTGACACCACTAGAATTTGAACGATAGATTGTTAAATCATAACGTTCCGAACAACTTCTTGAGCATTTTTCTTTTCTTTTTTTTGTCCTGTACAAGTTGTTTGAGTTGCTTTAATGCTTGAGACTTTGTTTTTAATTTTTCAGATCATTCCTTATATTAGAACATACACACAACCCGAATTAATGTAATCCTTGCAATTTGTGCTTTTATAACTGAATAATTTCCAGCAACATTTTATTTACAAAGAACAAACTAATTATGTTGGGCCCGTGCTTAGCACGGGCCATGCCCTTCTAGTAATATCATATATCAGTAATTTAAAAGACAAACATAAAAAAAAAAAAAAGGTATGATATGAAATAGAACTATTATAAAAACATTATATCTTTTTGATATGTTTGTCCTAATCACTTCTATATATGACCAATGCTTGCTTAGAATAGGAAAACATACATCAAATGTCCTAATTGCAGTTGTAGATGCTGCTTCTTTCTTCTTACTTTTTTTTAAATATAAAAAAATTGATGTATTGGAAGTGTTAATCTTTTTGAGTGAATTATATATATCAAAAGACTTGAAATATCAAGAGGATTTTTTTTTCTATATGACTCTCTTCTGTGGTGGATAAACTGGAGATTTTGAATATAATTTTTAATCTCAATTGTTTTTTTTTTCATCATACCAACCTGAAATTATAAACACAATATCTTCAAATTTTTTCTTAAGTGAAATTTATGTTTTAAATATGAATTCAATTCATATAGTCACGAGATACTTGATGAAAAAATAAAAATAAAAATAAATGTTGTGGTCCTAACTACAAGAAAATGGTGGATTACATGGGGATTTCACTAATCCGATCCCCAGGAAAATCCTCATGTAATTCACATTTTTTCTTGTAGTATATATATACTCCCTCTATCCCTAATTACTTGTCCACTTTTCCTTCTTTAGTTGTCCCTAATTACTTGTCCATTTTGACAAATCAAGAAAGAACATTTTTTTTACCTATTATACCCTCAATTTATTACTTTGAAAAAGGTAGAACTTCTGAAAATCTTAAGTTTTTAATTCATCCACTTCATAATTAATAGGGGTAAAATGGTAAACTTACTATATCAATAATTATTTTCTTAATAGGTGTGTCAATTTAAAAGTAGACAAATAATTAGGGACAAAGGGAGTATAATTCTCTGGAACATGTGTTAAATATGTGAGTATCTAACCATAGTCGATAGATAAGATCAAAGGAGGACCTATAAATAATAAAAACACTTTCTGGCTATATGTCTAAATATTTTTTTCCCCGAGGTGTACGATATTTACATACAAATTAAACTAAATTTAAATTCATACATTATAAATTTTTTTAATTTTCAAATGCTTAAATTCAAAACTTCTAACTAAAGATGATTTAATTTCATTCCACCCGTGACCCTTTAAAGAATGTTAAGTTAAATTCCTTCGTTCAAAAATTAACCTTAAATTCAGATAAGTTTATGAATCTATGGGACGGAGAATCCATGTTTAACTAGTGGCGGAGCCATCCTTATCCTAGAGGTGTCATTTAAGACCCCTTTATTGAAGCTACATTGCACACATGTGTAAAATATCTTCATCTTTTTTTATGATCTGGGCCTTGGTCTTTGGGCCTTTCAACTAAATAAAATAGAAAATATTGATTCATATATAGAAAAAATTAGTTAATATAGATGTATCATTTTAATTAATATGTTCATGAACTAGAAAAGATAAACGTTATTCATCAACTAGGGAAGATAAAAGAATATATAAAAAGTAATTAACAAGAAGCACTAAACTTTTATTCAATCAAAACACATAACGATTACATAATTTAGAAAATTACAACCACAAAAATATTTAATTAGTAGCTTAGTACATAGCATAGTGTCATAGATAACACAATATACTTTGTGGTCATAACTTATTCTTAAGCTTTTGGTAGAGCAATATTATTGCCATCAACACAATAATTCTCATTGCAACTTGTCATGCAACTTCCAAACTTCTCATGATCTGCAAAATTAATGAGTAATTAATTAGGTCTAAATATATATATTTAAGGGTTCACATCATTTTTATTGAATTGTTAGACTGTCTATACATAAAAACGTTATAATATAATCATGTTTATTACTATACCATAGTTGTTGATGAGATATTTGTAACAATGACCAAAAGAACATCCAACGTTACAAATGCGATTATTTCGAGTTTGAACGTCCCTCTGACTGCAATAGTCAGGACATATAATAGTGCTGCAAATAGGGTTTAAGAAGCAACCAGCAATACATAGTGATAAACATTCTCCATCCTCTCTTTTGATCATCTCACCATTATTCTCATTTGTAAATAAAAGCATTGCAAAGAACAAAACCACTATAACTTTCAATGCCATAATTAATTATACTATATGATATGATACTTGTAATTATTTGGTTGAGGTGTAAAAAAAAAGGTCCTCACATTCAACTATTTATAGAGGAATTCCCTCTCAACAATAATGTTTTAATCATGAATGGTAATTAGGTTAGTCACGGGACATGTAACAATACATGAATAAGATATAAAAAACAAAATGTACTATGTATGAGTAATTCAAAACAAACCAAGTATATATGTACAAGAATTCACTCCAACAATACAATTCATTTTTTTTTGGGCATAATACATAAATATGTTTTTTTAACCTGACCTCATTTTTCACATTTTCATCCTCTAACTTTGTGTGTGTACAAATAGTCACTTAAATTTGTATAAAGTCAAATAAATAAACACACATCCTATGGGTTAAAAATCCATATATATATAATTTTTTTCGTGTGTTTACTTTTTTATTGTTTGAAATTCCCTTAGTGTAAAGCTTCTAAATCAAACACATTTTAATCATGCATGGCTATTGAATTTAATTTTCAATAGGTTGATCCGTACACCTTTAGTCACAAGAATTTGTGATGAACATAATTCAAAGAATATTTTCTAAAAAAGGAAACCATACATTCCATGAAAACAAAAATGTAGTATGCATTTGTGATTCACTCTCAACAAGTAAATACAAACCAAATTTTTTTTTTGATTCGTTGACAGTGATTGATCCAACATTTTTATTAAGATATTTGGAAAAATAAAAATATAGTGCCTAGAAGTTTGAATTTGGAATCTCCGAGCTGTATTTTGTACCCCTCAACGTATTAAATCAACTTTTAATCTTATGTTCAAGAGGTTCAGACTCTATAATTATACCTTACAGATATCGTGTAATTTTTGCTGATAAAGTTCGGTGAACCTCCCCACTAGCTCATAGATCTATTGTTGCATGTCGAGTAAGATCCATTTAAGAGGAAATTACCTCCTAACAGGTTTTTTTCTTTTTCCATATTAACGGTTCAAAATCGAGATCTTTAACTAAAAATGTAGTACCTAGAATTTGAATTTAGAACCTGAAGTTATATTTTGAACCCCTCAACCACTAAATCAACCCTTAATCTTATGTTCAAATTAAATTAACTTATACTTTACAGATATTATGTAATTTTTGTCGAGAAAGTTTGGTGAACCGCCCCCACTACCTCATAGATCTGTCATTGCATTTCGAGTAAGATCCATTTAAGAGGAAATTACCTCCTAACAAGTTTTTTATTCTTTTTTCATATTAACGGTTAAAAATCAAGATCTTTAACTAAAAATATAGTACCTAGAATTTAAATTTAGAACCTCAAGGTATATTTTGAACCCCTCAACCACTAAATTAACATTTAATCTTATATTCAAATTAAATTAACTCTATGATAATCATACTTTACACATATTATGTATCTTTTGTCGAGAAAGTTCGGTGACCCTCCCCACAATGCTATAGATATGCCGATGTGTGTCGAGTAAGACCCATTTAAGAGGAAATCATAACAAGTTTTTTTTTTTTATTAACGGCTTGAGGCGATCCATCCCATTTTAACTCTTATATGTTATTTTGTTGGTTGTTATTTGTTATTAATATAGAAAAATAAATTAGGATAGATGTATCATTTTAGTTTAATATGTTCATGAACTAGAAAAGATAAAAGTTGTTCATCAACTAGGGAAATAAAATAATATTTAAAAAGATGTATCAAAAAGTAATTAATAAAATTTTATTCAACTAGAACACATAACGATTACATAATTTAGAAAATTACAACCACAAAAATATTTAATTAGTAGCTTAGTACATAGCATAGTGTCATAGATAACAATATACTTTGTGGTCATAACTTCTTCTTAAACTTTTGGTAGAGCAATATTATTGCCACCAACACAATAATTCTCATTGGAACTTGTCATGCAACTTCCAAACTTCTCATGATCTGCAAAATTAATGAGTAATTAATTAGGTCTAAATATATATATTTAAGGGTTCTAATTGTACGTTTTTATTGAATTGTTAGTCTGTCTATACATAAAAACGTTATAATATAATCATGTTTATTACTATACCATAGTTGTTGATGAGATATTTGTAACAATGACCAAAAGAACATCCAACGTTACAAATGCGATTATTTCGAGTTTGAACGTCCCTCTGACTGCAATAGTCAGGACATATAATAGTGCTGCAAATAGGGTTTAAGAAGCAACCAGCAATACATAGTGATAAACATTCTCCATCCTCTCTTTTGATCATCTCACCATTATTCTCATTTGTAAATAAAAGCATTGCAAAGAACAAAACCACTATAACTTTCAATGCCATAATTAATTATACTATATGATATGATACTTGTAATTATTTGGTTGAGGTGTAAAAAAAAAAGGTCCTCACATTCAACTATTTATAGAGGAATTCCCTCTCAACAATAATGTTTTAATCATGAATGGTAATTAGGTTAGTCACGGGACAAGTAACAATGCATGAATAAGATATAAAAAACAAAAATGTACTATGTATGAGTAATTCAAAACAAACCAAGTATATATGTACAAGAATTCACTTCAACAGTACAATTCATTTTTTTTTTTTTTTTTGCATAATACATAAATATGTTTTTTTAACCTGACCTCATTTTTCACATTTTTGTCCTCCAACTTTGTGTGTGTACACGTAGTCACTTAAACTTGTATAAAGTTAAGCAAATAAACACACACGTCCTACGCGGTTAAAAATCCTTGTTTGATCAATGCCAAAGATATCCTTGTCCTAGAGGTGTCATTTGAGACTTTTTCACTATAAAAATACACTATATATGTACATAAATAGGTAAAATATGGTTTTATGCACATAGAATAAGGATTCAAGACTGTGAAATTGAAACGTTAGCTCTAGTAGACTCTTGATGTACAAAAAGTATAATAAATAGAAGTATCCTACCTCTAGATATAATAAAAGAATTTTCAGAACCACAAAGCGCCATGCAAATGGACGGATCGTCAAATATATATAAACATTATGTTAGTAATGCTCAAATAAGTTTTTAAATACATGTGCAGACTTTTATAAACCCACATATAAATTAGAAAAAATATGGGTTAGAGATTTAAATATTAGAGTAGACTTTGTTTTAGGTTTAGACTTCTTATTACATAACAACGGAAGCTGTCTCCTTACTAGAGACGGTGTAATATTCTCAAAAAATAAAACTCAGACCTCAATAACAACAGAATCGGTTCCAACAAGATCTAGGTATTTTAAAAATACTGATAAACTTTACACAAATACATCAAAATGTAATAAAGGAGAAGAATGTAACTGTACTAAGATACATGTTATTGAAGAAATTGAAGAAATCGAATTATTAGAGCTAAGTCTATCCGATATACAACTAGAAAAAAGTTATAACTTAATAGAAATAATTAAATACAGAACTTTACAATTTCAAAAAAGGATTGCAACATATAGGAGTCATAAAAAATCAAAAAGACCTAGATGAAGTAATTTCCATCTTGGATAAGTTAGAAATAATTGGAGAGAGACCTCTGAAGCACTGGGAAGCCAATCATATCATATATATATATATATAGATTAATTTTTTATAGTTTTTTTTGTGTGTTTACTTTTTTATTGTTTGAAATTCCCTTAGTAAAGCTTCTAAATCAAACACATTTTAATCATGCATTGCTATTGAATTTAATTTTCAAAAGGTTGATCCGTACACCTTTAGTCACAAGAACTTGTGATGAACATAATTCAAAGAATATTTTCTAAAATAGGAAACCATACATTCAATGAAAACAAAAATGTACTATACATTTGTGATTCACTCTCAACAAGTAAAAACAAACCAAGATATTTTTTTTTGATTTGTGGACAGTGATTGATCCAACATTTTTATTAAGGTATTTGAAAAATAAAAATGTAGTGCCTAGGATTTTGAATTTGGAATGTCAAGGTGTATTTTAAATCCCTCAACATATTAATTAGTCATCGTTTAATCTTATTTTTAAGAGGTTCAAACTCTATAATCATACCTTATAAATATAGTGTAAGTTTTGTTGATAAAGTTTGGTGAAGCTCCCACTACCTCATAGATCTGTTAATTGTTGCATGTTGAGTAAGATCCATTTAAGAGGGAATCGCCTCCTAACAAGTTTTTTTCTTTTTCCATATTAACGGTTCGAAATCGAGATCTTTAACTAAAAATGTAGTACCTAGAATTTGAATTTAGAACCTCAAGGTATATTTTGAACCCCTCAACCACTAAATCAACCTTTAATCTTATGTTCAAATTAAATTAACTCTATAATTATACTTTACACATATTATGTAACTTTTGTCGAGAAAGTTCGGTGAACCTCCCCACTACGCTATAGATATGCCGATGTGTGTCGAGTAAGACCCATTTAAGAGGAAATCATAACAAGGTTTTTTTTTTCTTCATATTAACGGCTTGAGCTCGTGATCTTTAAGAATTCTATCCATCCCATTTTAACTCTTATATGTTATTTTGTTGTTTGTTATTTGTTATTAATATAGAAAAATTAATTGGGATAGATGTATCATTTTAGTTTAATATGTTCATGAACTAGAAAAGATAAAAGTTGTTCATCAACTAGGGAAAATAAAATAATATTTAAAAAGATGTATCAAAAAGTAATTAATAAACTTTTATTCAACTAGAACACATAACAATTACAAAATTTAGAAAATTACAACCACAAAAACATTTAATTAGTAGCTTAGTACATAGCATAGTGTCATAGATAACACAATATACTTTGTGGTCATAACTTCTTCTTAAGCTTTTGGTAGAGCAATATTATTATTGACATCAACACAATAATTCTCATTGCAACTTGTCATGCAACTTCCAAACTTCTCATGATCTGCAAAATTAATGAGTAATTAATTAGGTCTAAATATATATATTTAAGGGTTCTCATCATTTTTATTGAATTGTTAGTCTGTCTATACATAAAAACGTTATAATATAATCATTTTTATTACTATACCATAGTTGTTGATGAGATATTTGTAACAATGGCCAAGAGAACATCCAACGTTACAAATACGATTATTTCGAGTTTGAACCTTCTCACTGCAATAGCCAGGGCATACAAGAGTGGTGCAAATAGGGTTTAAGAGGCAACCAGCAATACATCTTGCTAAACATTCTCCATCCTCTCCTTTGATCATCTCACCATTGTTCTCATTTGTAAACAAAAGCATTGCAAAGAACAAAACCAATATAACTTTCAATGCCATAATTAATTATATTATATGATATGATACTTGTTATTTGGTTGAGGTGTAAAAAAAAAAGGTCCTCACACTCAACTATTTATAGAGGAATCAATCCCCTCTCAACAATAATGTTTTAATCATGAATGATATTTAGGTTAGTCATGGGATATATAAGATTTTAATAAAGGAACAATATATGAATAAGATATAAAAAAACAAAAATGTACTATATATGAGTACTAATTCAAAACATATTGTACAAGAATTCACTTCAACACAATACAATTTCAATTATTATTATTTTTGGCATAATACATGAATATATTTTTTTAACCTGACCTCATTATTCACATTTTTGTCCTTCAACTTTATGTGTGTACAAGTAGCCATACTTCATCTTGTATAAAGTTAAACAAATAAGCATACACGTCCTACGTGGTAATCTACATGACAATTTGTGTCCTGCATGGTTAAAAATCCTTGTTTGATCAATGGTGAAGATATCCTTGTCCTAGAGGTGTCATTTGAGACTTTTTCACTATAAAAATATACTATATATGTACATAAATAGGTTAAATATTGTTTTATGCACATATTTTATATATTAAATTTTTATAGTTTTTGACTTTTTTCGTGTGTTTACTTTTTTTATTGTTTGAAATTCCCTTTGTAAAACTTCTAAATCAAACACATTTTAATCATGCATGGCTATTGAATTTAATTTTATGCTTTTATCCGTACACCTTTAGTCACAAGAATTTGTGATCAACATAATTCAAAGAATATTTTCTAAGAAAGGAACAATACATTTGTGGTCCACTCGATCTCAACAAGTTAAAACAAACCAAAATATTTTTTTGGATTCGTGTTGACAGTGATGGATCCAAGATTTTTATTAAGGGTTTGAAAAATAAAAATATAGTGCGCCTAGGATTTTGAATTTGGAATGTCAAGTGTATTTTAAACTCCTCAACGTACTAAGTCAACCTTTAATCTTATGTTTAAGAGGTTCAAACTCTATAGTTATACCTTATAGATATCGTGCAATTTTTGTTGATAAAGTTTGGTGAAACTCCCCTCTACCTCATAGATCTGCTATTGGAGAATACAACAAGGAGATTGCAAAAAACTGATTTACAACTAGCTAGCTGGCTTTGCTATATGTTAAAATATTTTTTTCTCTTTATAGTGTACGATATTTACATAGAAATCAGAAAAAATTTGAATTCATACATTATAATTTTTTTTATTTTCAGATGCTTAAATTCAAAACTTCTAATTAAAGGTGATTTAATTTCATTCCATCTGTGGCTAGAGCCGTCACAACAGGCTTAGCCCATGGGGTAGGTCAACCCAACCCGTTATTGGGGTAAGATTGGGATATGATTTTTCAAGTTCATTTAAAACTAGGGCTTATACGTCCGACCCATATAAGCCCTTGGTCCTTGAGGCTTGATTGGGGCTGGGCCGGGATCAGCCCATGGGCCAAAACTTTTTATTTAAGTTAACGTACAATAATCTCACTAGTATATAATCTAATTACTTAAATACATACTATGTTGTAATATTATGAATCTTACCAGATTTTTGTACTTCCAGATACATGTATCTCAAAAGAATATATGGACTCAAAATTAGGTGAATTTGTTTTCGATACACTCTATCCAAGTAGATTCGCATGTATCTAGGATACATAGACAAATCTTGCGCGCTCGCGTATCTGGTATGCGAGATATATGCTAATTATAATAGATTTTTTGCTAGTGTTATTGAAACAACACCATTGTTTGCCATATTTGATTTGAAAATCTTCTCATTTTCTTGATGTTGTAGAATATAAGTTTGAAAAAAAAAAAAGGGCTAGCCCTCCCCAGTCCTCGACCCTTCTAGGGTTGGGTTGGATTGAGCATTTTCAGGCCCTTCCAAATGAAGGGTCGATCCGCCCTAGCCCTTCAAATTCCTTAGCCCGCGAGGCTTGGGCCAGGTGGGGCTAGGTTGCCCTTTTTGACAGCTCTACCCGTGGCCCTTTAAAGAGTGTTAAGTTAAATTCTTTCGTTTAAAAATTATACTATGTAAATTAATAAATTCAGATAAGTTATATGAATCTGTGTGATGGAGAATCCATGTTTAACTAGTGGCGGAGCCATCCTACATTGCACACATATGTAAAATATCTATTTTCTTCATATGTAATATTTTAAACTTTTCTTAGTGTGATTCAACACAATTCTTTGTCCTAATCACTTCAATCACCAAAAAGAAAGAAACTATAGGAGTAAGAACTCAAATGATGTGAAAGATGTAGAATTTGTTGGTACCTTTTTGTATTAAGGATTCTCATTGCAACTTGTCATAAGCTTATTAAATATATACAAATATTAAGCTTAGAACTCAATAATTAACACTTGAAATCATCATTATAAAATTTAAAATTTATTATGGTTAAAATTATTGTCTATGTCTATTTTTACTTATCCACTATATATTAAGAATAGTTATCTATAATACTTGTCTACTTTGAAAAATTAAGAGATAATTTACTCTTTAATTAAGTTGTCTCACATTAAATACTTTACTCAATTCATGTTCATATTCACGCGCGCGCGCACACAAGAATTTGTGACGAACATAATTCAAAGAATATTTTCTAAGAAAGGAAACCATATATTCGATAAAAACAAAAATGTACTATGCATTTGTGATTCACTCTCAACCAGTAAAAACAAATCAAGATATTTTTTGAATTCGTGTTTATAGTAATGGATCCAAGATTTTTATTAAAGCATTTGAAAAAAAAAAATATAGTGCCTAGAATAGAATTTGGAACATCAAGGTGTATTTTGAAACTCTCAACACTAAAGTCAACTTTTTAATCTTACATTCAAGAGGTTCAAACTCTATACTTATACCTTACAGATGCCTTATAGAAATTCACTTCTCAATTAATTAAGGGCGGAGCTAGAAGTCTGGTGACGGATTTGACCGAATAATATTTGTTCAAGTAGTGTATTTGTATTAAGAAACTTATTAAATATATACAAATATTAAATTTAAAACTCAATAATTAACACTTGAAATAGTCGTTACAAAATTCAAAACACATGAGGTTAAAATTTTCATACTTCATCTTATGAGAATTTCTTCTTTTTTATCGTGCTTAGGACAAATTTACCATATTCTATGTGCGGCATTAATTATGTTTATATAATAGCTTTACCTTATATATGCATGCCATATATTTTTTTAAGATTTGTCTTTCAAATTCTTAATGTGTGATTTTATAACGATGAAAAATCATACAATGGATCTAAACATTATAATCATGATTAAAACAATACAACATAATAATAATTAATAGAAAACACTAGAGTTTTATTCAAGTACGAACGAACACACATAACGATTACATAATTTAGAAAATTACAACCACAAAAGTATTTAATTAGTAGCATAGTGTCATAGACGACACATACTTTGTGGTCATAATAAATTCTTGTTAATTAAGCTTTTGGTAGAGCAATATTACTATTGTCAATTAATACAATAGTTCTCATTGCAGCTTGTCATGCAACTTCCAAACTTGTGATGATCTGCAAAATTAATTAACAAGTAATTAGGAGCATGTGTTGAAATAATAAAAAGATTAACAATGACCAAGAGAACATCCAACATTAGAAATTTGTAACAATGACCAAGTTCAGTCACGGGGATATGAAATTCAAGAAAGGACCATATATGATATATGCATAAGATTACAAAAATGTACTATATATGTATTAGTGGTTTAATTCCTCTTTTGACCGTATGATGTTGCTCTTTCTTTCCCTTTTTTCATCAATTATTTCAAGAAAATCAATCTTTAATCTTATGTTCAGGATGTTCGAATTAACTCTATAATTATACCTTACAGATATTTTTATCGAGATTGTTCGATGAACCTCCCCATTAGAAAATGTCACTTTTTTTATATGAAAGAAAAATACTAAAACAACATGCATTTAACATTATTTCACACACCAATACATACATTTGGGTTATTTAAAACATATATTTTTGTATTTAAGTACAATTATTTATATACGAATTTTATATATAGTATGTCTCATTATATATTACAGATGGAACTTATTGAAAATTTAGATAATCAAGAATAATTCAATGAGTACATAGGAATAAAAATGTAAAACTAAAATTAAATTTATAATTATATAAACTTCATCTTGCAACTATTATTATATAGATTATTGTCATAACGTTTTAAACATGCGTTGTTTAAATTTAATTTCCTAGTACGTTGATCTGTGCAGCTTTATATACAAAGAATATTTTTTATAAGGAACAATACATAAGGTAAAACCAAAAATGTACTATAGTGGTCCACTCTCAAAAAGTTAAACAGAAACCAAATAATATCATAAAATAATTGAAATATTTGACGGATTATAGACATAATTTCCAATGTGTTATATCAGAAATTCACTTATCAATTAATTAAGGGCGGAGCTAGAAGTCTAGTTACGGATTTAACCAGAGTATTTTATGTTCAAACAATGTATTTGTATTAAGAAACTTATTAAATATATACAAATATTAAATTTAAAACTCAATAATTAACACTTCAAATAGGCGTTATAAAATTTAAAACACATGAGGTTTAAATTTTCATACTTCATCTTATGAGAATTTCTTCTTTTTATCGTGTTGAGTTCTTGTGATAGAAGAAGTCATGATTAGGACAAAGTATTATATGTGCAGCTTTACTTTATATATGCATGTCATATTTTTTTAAGATTTGTCTTTCAAATTGTTTATGTGTGATCTTATTATAGAGAAATATATTAACATAACGTTTTAATCATGCATGATAAAGTTAGTTTAGTCACGGGATGTATATGTACTATAAAGATTCTGCAAATGTACCATGTATGATTTATCCACTCGAGACAAGTAATTAATTCAAAACAAATCAAGTATGATAATTCAAAATAGGGTTGTGGTCGAGTTTTTAATCTCCTTGGTACGAAGTCAATTTTGTTAGGGAGCGCTTTTATCCTCTAATGTGGACTTTACGACGCGAGTTTGAATTTAGTCAGGCCTCAATGTGGGTATCAGTGGATGGTAAACAAAAAAAGAAAAATAATTTTCAACCACACAAATATCTCAAAATTTCCAGCTCAAATCATATTATGTCAAACTTCAACGAGAATACATGTCAAAATATCATTTCTCAAGCAAATATCAAACCCTTTTGAAATTGTATGAAGAAAGCGATAAGAATGAATTGAAATACTCAAAAGAGAAAGAGGAGATAAGAGAGGAGAGGAGCGTAAGAAGAAACAAATTTAGATTTTTGTTAATTTCATTCTTTTTCAATGCCTACTAGAAGATTATGAGTCCAGTTTATATAGACCTACTAACTGGACTTAATTCTAACTAACTACAATAGTTTACCTAACTACACAGTTAATTAACTAACTTTCAATAAGTTAGTTAACCTTGTAACTAACTTCTAACTATTCACACTATCCTTGAGACTTTAGGTTATTCCTTCAATACTACCCCCTCAAGTTAGGTACTCTAAAAAATGTTTCTTAATGCCTAACTTGGAACTCAAAACTTTCATGTTGCATTCTGAATAAACTCTTGGTTAACAAATCCGCAGGCTGTTCATTTGTAGGAATGTAATTAGTAGAAATCACTCCTTGCATAATCTTTTCTCTAATGAAGTGACAGTCTATTTCAATGTGTTTCGTCCTTTCATGATAAACTGGGTTTGCAGCTATTTGTATAGCAGCCTTACTGTCACTATACACCTTAACTGGAAGAGTAACATCTACACCAAATTCCTTTATTAATCCAATTATCCACACCAATTCTGCCACTGTTGAAGCTAAGCTTCTGTATTCAGCTTCTGCTGAACTCTTAGACACGATAGTTTGTTTCTTAGACTTCCAAACGACAGGAGAATCTCCAAGCTTAACTACATACCCTGTCACTGACTTCCTGGAGTTTGGACATGCAGCCCAATAAGCTGATATCTCAATGTTGTCATTGCTAGACAGTAGGACTCCCTGCCCTGGTTCTTTTTTCAGATATCTAACTATTCTAATTGCTGCTTCCATATGGGACTGTTTAGGAGCTTGTAAATATTGACTTAGAGTCTGTACACAAAAAGAGATATCAGGTCTGGTCATAGTGATATATAGAAGTTTACCTATGAGTTTCTGATAAGACCCTTGATCAGCCATATGTTCTACTTGACCTTTCATCACATGATCATCATATTCCTTTGATGTTAACTTTATATTTGCATCCATAGGAGTCATAGCAGGTTTTGCTACCCCTAAACCAACTTCAGAAATTAACTCTAATGCATACTTTCTTTGATGCATTAGAATACCTTCTTTTGATCTAGCAAACTCAATACCAAGGAAATACTTTAACTCTCCTAAGTCCTTCATTTTGAACGCTTGTTGTAAGTGCCCTTTGGTCTCATTGATCAGTTTCAGACTATCTCCTGTGATGAGCATATCATCCACATATACAAGAATAACTGTAATGCCTTCTGTGCTCTTTTTAGTGAACAATGAATGATCATATTGACTCTGTTGGAATTGGAATTTAAGAAGTGCCTCAGTTAGCTTAGCATTCCATTGCCTAGGAGCTTGTTTCAACCCATACAAGGATTTCTTGAGTCTGCATACTGTCTTAGTCTCCCCCTGACTCTGAAAACCTTGTGGTAAATCCATGTAAATCTCATCAAATAGGTCACCTTGTAAAAAGGCATTAAACACCTCCATTTGATGGATATGCCACTGTTTTATTGCTGCAAGAGCAAGTACTGACCTAACAGTTTTCATTTTCACCACTGGAGAGAAAGTTTCTTGGTAATCAATCCCTTCTTTCTAACTATACCCCTTGGATACCAATTTAGCTTTAAACCTTTCTATTTCACCATCAGCTTTGTACTTTATTTTGTAAATCCATCTGCACCCAATAGGTTGCTTCCCCTCAGGCAGAGACACTACTTCCCAAGTGTTGTTTTGTTGTAATGCACTAACTTCTTCTTTCATAGCTTCCACCCACCTAGGATCTGTAATGGCCTCATAATAAGATTTAGGTTCTGTGGATGCTGAAATAGCAGCAACATAAGCTTGGTATCTTGGTGCCAAATGAGCATAAGCCACATACTTAGACATAGGATAGTCTACTGTTTCATTCACACTTAATGAAACAAAATCCTTTAACCAGACAGGAGGATTTCTATCCCTGGCAGACCTCCTGGTAACCTTATCAGGCATCACAGGAACTCCCACTTGTCCAGCCTCTTCTGGCTGTGTGTTATGAACTTCATGTGTTGTTCCTTCATGTGTCACACTAACTTCAGCCATATCATTCATACCACACTCACTATCACATGGAACAAACAGTTTGTTACCTGACTCACTGGTATTGTTTTTGAAAGGAAAGACATCTTCTTTAAACAAAACATCTCTACTAACTCCTAACTTCCTTGTTTCTAGATCATATAGAATATATCCTTTCTGAGTCATTGAATATCCCATATGCACCGTCATCCTAGACCTTGGCTTTAGTTTATCTACTTCCTGTACTACTTTAGCATAGCAAAGACATCCAATGACTCTCAAATGTGAGAGACATGGTTTTTTGTTGTAGAACACCTCATAGGGAGACTTGTTCTGTAAAACTGAACTAGGTAGCCTGTTGATTATATGCACTGCAGCTAATACACACAGACCCCACAAGTTACTAGGTATATCAGCTTGGAACTTTAGAGCCCTTGTTACCTCTAGTAGATGCCTGTGTTTCCTCTCAGCTACTCCATTCTGCTGAGGAGTATAGGCACAGCTAGTCTGATGCACTATGCCAAAATCCTTAAACAAATCTCTGCACACTGTGTTGACAAACTCAGTTCCATTATCTGACCTTATGACCTTAACACACCTACCAAACTGAGTTTTAGCATACACAATGAACTGTTTAATGACCACACACACATCAGACTTCAACTTTAATAAGTATACCCAAGTTAACCTTGAAAAATCATCCACAACAGTGAGGAAAAATCTATTACCATCAAATGTAGGCACTTTGTAAGGACCCCAAACATCCATGTGTACAAGATCAAAGCATGCTGAAGTTTGTATACTACTTGTAGGAAATGTATTTCTAACTTGTTTTGCATAAGGACATACAGTACAATTATTCAATGTATTTGCTATACTTTCAGTCTTTACAGATATAAGCTGGTTTAAGGACCTTGAGGAAGCATGTCCAAGCCTTTTATGCCACAGCTCCACATCTGCAGCCTCCTCATGAACATGACTTTCTTTTACAGCAAAACCACATCCACTGTTTAGAGACTGCTGCACCTTTATACTTCCAGTAAGAATGTACAGTCCATTTTCCTCTCTACCAATCTCCCTCACCCTTCCATTGGAGAGATCCTGAAAGAGACAAAAATCAGGAAAGAAACTTACTGAACACCCTAACTCTTTTGTGAGCTTGGACACAGACAGTAAATTGATTTTGAACTGAGGAACATGCAACACATTACTCAAAGACGTCC